TTTTCAGTTGCGCTCGTTGTATCTATTTTCTCACTTCGCCGAGTCACGCTTGAGTCAATTCGTAGAAATCCTGCTCGCTAGAATTTCACTACTGACTCCTAAGTTTTGTAAAATTGAAGCCTATGAGTGACAAAGGACGATATATTCCTCCTTCATGCACCTGCGAAAAAGACCAAGAACGATATATCGCTGTTCGAAATTTTAAGTGCTACAACTCAGTAACATTAAACGTACCGCGATTGATCAAATGACCGATTTTGAAATTTGATATAAAATTCTACGTTTTTCTTCGTTCATTTAACTTTATATCAATTTCTACATTGTCCGATTAATCAGTTTTTCAATTTTTGTTTTTTCTTCTGTTTCTGTTTGCACTAAAAACATTTATCACCCAACTCTTTTACTTTTATTTTATAACTAGTTATTTTACTAATTGCGATAGAAATAGGTATGGATATAATATATACAAAGTGTTGGTACATAGATTTATATGTGTACTTCCATTGTATTTTAAATATCGTAATGCATATAATATATAACAAATGATTAGCTTCTTCTTTAATTGAATGTTAGCTTGCTAGCTTGCGTACTAGCTGGTAAGTATATGTAGTTTGTTTTGATATTTAAGAGTACATATTGTTATTAACTTTTTCACATCCTACACAAATGGATTCAAACAATGAATATGATAGCGATACCGATAGCATAACATATATTCTTATTAATTTTATTAGTAAACCAGAAAGTCTAACATGCTTTTAGTATTGTGTAAAAATCTTATAAAGTTTAGATCAAAATTGACCAAAGTATAAACATTTGTTTATAGCTGTTACGTTGTTGTAACACACGGAAGGATTTCCGTGTAAATGGTTGAGTCCTTGTCTCGACCGGAAAATGACACACGACGAGTTGTTAGTGTAAAAGAAACACTTTATTATAACTACATAGATTTTGAAGACTTTCGCACAAAGTTCCGTTTCGCCATGTTTGTCAAAGTAGCGCGTTTGTGGAGTTGTATCTTTCCAGAAATTTCGTAGCGAAATATTGTATTTTACATAAATTTAGGTTTTTTAAGATTGGTCAGTTGCATGTTTAAGTGAAGGAAAGTTATGTTTTGTCATTGGTTGAGGGTGTATCTATATTATGTCTTAGTGTTTATGATTGTCGCTGCATCATACGCGGCGTCCAAATGTTTTACGATGACCATTATAAAAATTAGTAAAATTTCGGAGTACTCACGAACCTGGTCCGTAATTATGGGATTATCCTAAGTCGCTTCGCTGTCAATTAGTTTATGATTCGAGGCAAGTAAGTCGAACGTAACATACATATTCTATACATGGTTTTAAATATAAATGGTTTATATCTTATAAAACATTCTTAAAAATAATTTAGGTACTCTTTTGAATGGTACCAAAGGCCGATCGAGTTGAAATTTAGAGAATTGAGAGGGGAGGGAGATTGGACCTTAAATATAAAATTTTAACTTTAAGCATTTATTAGTTTCCGAAATATTAATAAGAAACTTTCGTGCAACGCATTGAATTCTGTCTATACAGGCGTGTCGTCTATATACTCCGCTGTAATAGTTGTGTCGTCTGTGGGGCCGTTAAGTGAATAGTAATATCGGCCTCACTATATATAGGGTGCCCCAATGACAACGGTTATTAGATTAAGCTGCAGAAAGACCACTCCCACACCGATTTCGATGATTTTTTAATATATTTTAACAATCAATATTTGCAATAACTGTTTCTTTCCACAAAAATGTTAGTCTCTTTTAATTTCCAAGATAGTCACGAAAATTTTCGTTACTGCTACATTGAATTCTATATATAAGAGCGTGTCTGAGAGAAGGCCATAAGCATAGTCGCTCAAAAATCCTATTTTATTTTAAATTGGAAAACATAACTTATCAACATCGTAAACTCTTAATTTTTGTAAAAAACTATCGGATTCAAATTAGAAGGAATGTTAGCAATTATAAAGTAAAAGTGAGGGCGGGGGAGCACTTCTATTCTCCTTAGCTCTGTTCTCACCCCCTTTCACGGAGAAACTAGCCCCACTAATACTAGTTTCTACTATCTAACCGAAACTCGTTGTTATATATTGTAAGAACACTCTATAGATACTTACCATGCCGATGTCTCTGTTGCGTCATCAGCTACCTGACAGTCGATAACGAAGGTTTCTATTGCGAAGGTCCTTGCTTAGTCATATTTGTATTTATATGCAAAATGTAATGTATTTCGTAAAAGTTTACTATTAATATCTCGAAAATGAATAAATATCCGTAGCTAAAATTGTATACTTGGCGTCCATACTCCCTTTCCTACGATTCGATCAAATTTCAATTAAATTGTCCATCGGTACTATTCGAAAGTACAGTCAATAATTTTTAACTAATCTAAATTTCCGATTAACGCTTAAAATTAATTTTAACACTTTCAACATATAGTGACTTACGAAAGTATTTAAACACTTACCATGAAATACTTTATTAATTATAATAAGTATATTATACAATACTTACGCAAATATTATTAACAGTGTAAATACTTATATAGGTACGATTTCCTAGATTATAAAGGTCAAGTTTCAAGTGAATCAAAACATACATATGATGGTTATGAATTATTTCTTACAAACATAGGCTTCGTTAATGCTACAAAAGTATTTAAACTACGAACTTGTACCTAAATGTAATATACCGGTATTATACTGGTAATTTTCGGTTATATCTTCAGGGGTGCGACCAAGGTATTTGCCGCCTGGGTGCAAACTTTTATTGGCTTCCCCTTAAAAGAAATAACCAAAAGAAATTGCATGTAGCATTTGCTACAGTAAATAAAATAACAATTTATGCAAACCAAAAGTTACACGTATTATTTATTAAAAACACAAGAATACATATTTTCGTATAAATATTTTTAATGTTTCTAAAAAAAAGCAATAATTATTTCTTCATATAAACAATGATTACTTGCACATATTGTATTCTTTGTTTTCTGTATCCTGCCCCAAAAAGTCTTTTTCCTCCGCTGATATTTAAAAGTAGAGGTTATGAATGTGACACATTTTTCGTCGCCCGCGCTTTTTTTCGCAGAAACGTTCGCGCCAGAAAAGACCCTCTTGTATACGCCCCGTCGCAGGACCGTATGCCGTCTTATTATCCACACTATTAATGATTATGCTGTATGTAGAATTCAAATTAGATATTAACTGCATATAATGAATATTTGATATTTGTTTCTTACCGCCCGGATGGATTGTATCCTTTGCGCCCGCAGGTTGGCACGGCCCGGTATAATTTTGTAACCTTTATAGAATCCGAAATGCTATAAGTACCGGTATATTTGAACCTATATGTACCGCTATTAATTCGATTTTTCCGTTTTATCTATAGCGAAAATCATCCTATTACAGTAACATTTCTCTATGATTACTACACTATGACTGATATACGCACGACGACTAAGAACAGCGAATATTTATATTCGATACCTGACAAATTTTATTTTTATTGAAGTTATTTCTATGTGATCAATCAGGTACTTAACCGTTTGAATGCCACCGGTCTTTGTAAAAATCCGGTCGAAAAGTGCCAAGCGGCGCGATCGCACTTCTTTCGTTTCAGTTCAGAAACTGAATTACGCGTTTTTATTTTTACATGAAAAGATTGTAAATAGCGCGATCGTTCCATTTTTCCATTTCTAAGCAGGTACTCAAACGGTTAATACCGAAAACTGAAATAAATACTGGTATTTTTCCTGTTTTTCTAGAAGAGGTATTGTGACGAAGCAAATATACATAGCATTTTTTTATTATTACCATTCGTCGGCAATGTGTGCCTCATTGTTCATGTTGGCGAGTTTTTTGTTTCAGATTTTAAGGAATAATAGTCTATGGCTTTTTGTAAAATAATTTAACATGTGACGGGTAGTTTGGTCGCCGCGAGAGTATCGTTCTTGCCTGTAAGACCATTCTTGGCGGGAACACAACTACTAACACGGGCATATTGAAGTCCCACATATAAAAGTCCCCCGTTTAGATGCATGTTGTCAATTTTTATTCCGTACAATGAAGACTATTTTTTATCAACTGACCCGATGCCGATGAAAACATTATCAATGAAGTGATTGTTAATGATCTAAACATGTCGGTTAGTAAATGTTGTCGATGAAATACGGTGTTTATGAAAACACATCGCTAATTTAATTGTGGGTAAAGTATAGATAACCTACACACAACATTGAAATAAGAGTGATCAATGGGAAATAAATTGGCATATACATATAAGTATACTTATGTCAGTCCTTTATTTTGACAAAAGTCAACATAAACTTCGACAAAATCCCTTAATACTTTTTATATAATTATGTACGTACAATAATTATATACGTGTATATTTGTTCACCTATAAAAAAATAAACGTAATTTTATTTTATATTCATATAATACACGAACGTTCAATTAATAATGAAATAAGAATTGGTAAATATGAAACAATCTTTGTTCAATCAGATTTTTCGTCTAAGCACATTATCTTTTCATACAAAAATTTTGTATAGCTAATCAAAGCATTAAACATGATAAGATGTATATATGTATATATGTTAAAAATTTCTATTTCACTTTTACTTAAATACACTTATGGTATGTACATGTATTTATGTTAAAACATAATTAATTGTATTTAAGAAAACAAATTTTTAATTCTTTAAACATTACATGTGTCCTGCGTACATGTTCAAAGTATGGCCGTTAATATAAATAAAATAAAATCAGAAATAATAAAGATACAGTAAAGACAATAAATTATTACATAATATAAAGAGAAGTCGCGCAGCAACTAAAAGAAGAAGGGAAAGTACGGTAGGGAGCTCAGGAGATAGGAGTCAGGGTGTATGGGGGCAAGAGGGGCTCAGTTCACTCTGCCTAACCTATACAATGAAACAAATTGGTGTGACTCCTCTGCCAATCTGAGAAATGCGTGTGCTTTGTTCTTATGTGTGTTCTGTCGCTGAAGGTCGTTCCGGCGGACGACAGCCAATCATAGCTAACTGCCATCTCGTGAGATCTCTGCAGTACTGTCGGTTGCATAAAAGACGGCAGATAGAAGGAATGCGGGCTGAGTAGCCGGAGTGGAAGGAGGCCCGCCCATTGTTTCACGCATTTACGGTTCTAGCGTGCGATTTGCCGAAACAGTCACACATACTAATACCGTCGCATCACGTGAAGCACACAGCAAAAGATCCCTCTTGTCCCTGTGCCGTCCCGCATGCCGTCCACCCACTGGCTAGGTCGAGAGGGGAAAAAGCCTCAGAGGTAACGGATACACGAGCCGCCAGTTCGATATTCTTGTTCTAGAGCATTCGCAGCGTCCAAATCTTTGTCAAGCCCTTTTGTATTTTCATACTGATTATTGTTACGTTTTTCTTGTGGTAATTGCTAAATTAAATAATAAAAATAGTATGGAACGTAAGCGAGGCAAGACCATACGGAGTGAAGCTCGTAATATTATACGTCGCGTAATACGGAAGTGCGACGAAGAATCCCGTAAGAATCAAATGTTAATCCCTTTGAAACAATCGACGGCTCGTGCTGCAGAGTATGTGGGAGTATCAGAAAGATCGATTGTAAGAATTCGGAAAGAAGACGCAAACACAGATGAAAATCAACTATTAGCATCCCCAGGAAAGAAACGACCACGAAGAGAGGATACAACATTTCATTATTCTCAGGAGGATCAAAAAGTAATAAGGGATACTGTTTATGATTTTTATGTAAATAAAAAAATTGTTCCAACAGGCCCTAAAATATTGGAAGCTATTAAGGAAAAAATAGAGTTTCCTTGGTCTGTACACTCCTTGTACAGAGTACTTCGACGTATTGGCTTTAAATGGAGAAATAGCAATTCAATTAGAAAAGTTTTAATCGAGAAGCCAAGTATCGTAGCTTGGCGAGGCAAATATATAAAATCAATTCAAGAGTACAGAGCTCAAAATCGAAACATAATCTACCTGACAGAAACATGGGTGGACAGTTCGTTACGCTTCAGTAAATGTTGGCAGCATGAAGATGCATCAGAGGGTTCGCAAGGTACAAGTTTCCCCCTTCGGCTTCTAATACTTCATGCAGGTGGAAGAAATGGTTTTGTGCAAAGTGCAGAAATGATCTATAAAGTTACTAATAGTCAAATGAATGCCACTAACTTTGAAAAATGGATAAAAGAAAAATTACTTCCTAATATACCAGCCAAATCTGTAATTGTAATGGACAACGCACCGTATCACAGTGTTCAGTTAAACAGGCCACCATCAAAATATGCAAAGAAAGAAGATATGGTGAAATGGTTGGTTGAAAATAATATACCTCATGCAAAAAAGATGAGAAAACACGAGCTAATTGATCTTGTTGATAACAATAAAAAGGTAGAAAAAGTATATAAAATCGATGAACTCATAAAATTGCATGGTCATGACACTTTACGATTGCCACCATACATGCCAGAATTAAACCCCATTGAATTAGTTTGGGCCCAAATTAAAAATAAATTGAAAACAGAAGAAAACAGTTTGGAATTGACGATCAATGAACTTGAAAACTTCATGGATGTGGCAATGAAACAAATCACTTTAATCGATTGGGAAATGTACTGTTCTTGCGTGGAGAATTTAGAAAAAGACTATTGGCAAAGAGATTGGCTAATAGAAGAAATAATGGACAATATGCAGTTACAGAGCGATTCAGAAAGCGAATATGAGGAAGATAGTAGTTCATCAGGTAAGAAAAAACAAAAGCTATTTTTGAAAATTGTAAATATTCTGAGTCTGTTCTGAAAATGGGCTTGACAGTAATGAAATTATTTTTTCTAGAATAACTTGGGAAGCTTAAAGACTGTACGTGATTGGAGCAATCACAAACGAATGCAATGGAGATAATCACAGGGTATGAGAAAATAAAATGTATTTTTGAAAATTTTAAACATTCTGAGATTGTTCTGAAAATTAATATGACTGTAATGAAATTATTTTTTCTAGAATAACATGGCAAGTTGGAAAACCCTGTGTGATCGGAACAATCACAAACTAATGTGACAGAGATAATAACTCACAGGGTAAGAAAAAATAAAATTTATTTTCAGCAATTGTAAATATTCAAAGTTTGTTGTACAAATGAGGATGGTTGTAATAAAATTATTTTTTCTAGGATAACTTGAGAAGCTTGAAGACCACACATAATCGAAAGAATTACAAAATAATGTGATAAAAATAATAATTTATAGGGTAAGAGAAAATAAAATCTATTTTTGAAAATGGTAAATATTCAAACTTTATTGCAGGAAAGATGGCAGGAAATGAATGTAATTATAATAAAATTATTTTTCCTAGAATAACTTTGGAAATTAAAAGAAGACCACGACGACAAAGGAGATCATGTGATAGCACAACGACCACTGTATATTGTCCATTATTTCTTCTATCTGCCCATCTTTCTGTCAATATTCTACAATATTCACGTGGTCACATCGGTAAACTTCTCAAGTTTATCCCTTGTCAATTTTGAAGTTTTCTTTCTCTCAATTTGCATTTAATTGGCTAATTTAACTAATGTCATGCTAATTTAATAATAAATAACTAATTTTTTGGACCTTTTATTCTTCTAGATAATTCGTATAGCTTTTGTTTCCTCATCGTTTCTGGGCGAGCTATGTTATTTTCAACCAACTACTTCAACATAATCTTCTTTCTTTTATATTTTAATGGCGGCTTTATCTATTAGAAGATTGTACTATGACGCATTGCCCATAATAATCACAAAGTTAGTTGGAATATTAGGTAGTTATTTTGTCAAAATTGGTGGCGTTCATTTTACTATAATAATCACCGGTTGTGTGGAATTTAAACATTAATTGTGCACCTTGCACAAAAGCATCTTTATCTTTGGTATAAACTATCACGAGTCGGTGGAAAGAATCGGTACTTTTTGCAAAACGTCTAATACATTTTCGTTTTCCCAACCTTTACAGAAGCATAAAGAATTACTCACCCATGTCTCGTTGAAACGTTTCTTGATTCTATTAAGTTCAATTGCCTTTAAATATTAGCCTCGCCAAATTACAGTGTAATCTACACGAATGCATTGTTGAAGTAAAATCGATGTTTCCTTAATAACTGCCAACATTTTAGAATTTGTTAGGAGAATCTTATTTACATAAAAATCGTATACCGTGTCTCGTATTATTTTCGTTGTCTTCTTGAGGACAGTAACACGTCGTATCCTCTCTTCGTAATCGTTTCCTTCATGGCGATGTTCTCAATTGTATGTAGATAATCATGTAAATAATATGTATTATAATTAATTTATATTTTGTTATATTAGGTTTTGTATTCTGCATTATATTTTGTATTTTGTATTACCTTTTATAAATGAAATATAATAAAACAGTTTTGCAATAAGTGTGTTATACAAACAGTTATTACTTAATTATTTGACTATTTTGTGTAACATTATTACACATTTATATGTATCCTGTGTTAATTATTAAATATATGTTTAGATTTTGTTACATACATTAACTTTGTAATTAGTACATGTTTATTTATTTTAATGTATTTAAATTAAATTATATTTTAAAAATTGGGTAATATTGCAATTAAGCCGCTCTTCTCCCGATTTTCGTGAAATTGACAAAGGCTGCAGAAATTGATATTTTTATCAACTTTTTCCTGTAACAAACGATTTGTAATCTTATAGTTTCTGAAATAACCGCGTAGATTAAATTTTATGTACAACAGAAAGCAAAACTGATTCAATACTTAAATTTTCGTTAAATTCTTTATTTTACATAATGAACAGTAAGATATACAAAAAATTATAACAATAAAATTCTTCACTATCTAAGAAAACATTTAACAAACAGTTTTCAAACATTTTTTATCTCTTTTTGTATATTATAACGAATAAATACTTATTGAATCGGTTTTTCACTACCTTTTCCATAATATAGTTTTCTTAACTGTAAAACTGTAAAAAATATCCAATATTTTGTTAAAAGTTTTTTTGTTTTGCGAAATAAATTAGATCACTTTGGCACTGATTCTATTAATGTTCTCCAATAATCGAGATTGATTTTGTTCCATATTTCAACAATTCTTCTCTAACTCATCTATGGATGGTACTGGACTAATACAAATCTTGTACTATTCTTTTCAAATTAGTAATTCGTTTTCCAATGGTAAATCTATAAATTGTTAATTTATGTATGTGTCAGATATTTGACTTAGATTTTTTGGATACCATTTTGGTTTTTAGTCTTTGTCTATTAAAAGGACCCTCACACCTACAAATAATCAAATTTGTATACTATATATCAATCGTAAAAACTAGAAAATATAATTACCTTCGCAGAAGTCACCATCTTTACGTAAACCGTAATTACATACTAATCTGTATTCCATTTTCAAACAATTTGATAAAGTAAGGGAGTCTCCTTTTTGAATAG